TTATATATTTCACCTACTTATGTAGAATAATATTTTGTGGAGTTAGGGATATTAATATTAGTTTACTTTTAGTTGAATAGTATCCTGGGATTAGGTTTGTGAAGTCCGGGGGTGGGGGGTGGGGGGTAGGGTTTTTACACTGTGATGTATTTGTGATGTGCTTTTTTTTATGATGAAAATAATAAAAATTTATATTTGAGAAAAAAAAATGGACTTATGACCGGTCCTCAAAGTTGTGGCCCTCGCAGCATCTCCTGCAGTTACGTAATTGTGATTCAGACACTTGGCAACTATCATGCATTGATAACAGTCACAGCAGCCTGTGGTCACACAATTGTCATCTGTGTCCTTCCCAGCTGACAAGCAAAGTCAATGGGGAAGCCAGTAGGAGGTCTCAAGTCACAGTCATGGGATATCTCACTTACTGTATCATGCATGATTTGCTTAACAACCAAAATCAACCAGAACCAAAAGAATCAGAACTGCTGACATAAGTCAGTGCAGCCACAATGACAGAGTTATCCGTCCCAGCTAGGCTTGTAAAGTGAGGACTACCTGTACTTGAAATATTGCCCTCATATACTGATTATCTGTATCTTTATCTGTATCTTTATCTGTATCTTTAAAAGCACCACATTACACTTCGGTAAAGCTATTGCTTTGTCTAGAAAATAAGTACACTGATACAGAAATCAGAAATCCTCAAAGTGTTAGTTGGCCTCATTCAATAACATCAAAAGCTGTTATTATAGGATTTTATTATAATCGAGGTCATAAATCCATATTTATTAACATCATTAAAATAGAAAATAAATTCTAATCATGCCTTCTGAAATGCCTATTAAAATAAACATGATTTGTGTTATGCTATATGATCAACAATGAGACGGGTCAGTAGCTACAGAAAAACTACATTCTGCTTGCAATTAATTGCTACAGCCCTGTTAGGGTATCTGATCTCTTCATACTCTTTTGAGAAGAGGTAAAAAACATGTCATTTAAGTTTTAATATAAAGTGAGAGTGGAGAT